TATATATATATATATATATATATATATACATATATAGCAATTGGTATGGTTTTCTTTGACACTGTAACAAAGGGCTGTGATTCATTGTACCCATACCCTAAAAATGCTAAAGTCTGTGAGTGAGTGATGAAGTCACTTTTCTAATGCTCTCTACATCCCCTATGTTTGATATTTTTGAATGGCAACAAGCAAACAAACAAAAAAATTAGGTCAGGTGTGGAAGCAATTTTTGGCCATATTTTAGTCTACCAACAAAACAGAAACACAATGGGAAGACTGGATTTTGTTAATATTAAAGATTATTTTATTTAACACAAAGATGCATATCATTAAAATGCAATATTCAGAAATGTTACACACCAAAGTAAAAACACGACAAATACGCCAGAAAGGCCTCCATCATATCAACCCCATGTAAACCAACTGCATATTAAAGCATGTTTTTTTTTTTTTAACAAACAAATGAACATTAGGAGTACATATCAAGGCATGTCATGGAAGCAACAAGTTCTCCAAATGAAACGACAAAATACGTTGTTTGTCCACTAAAGAAAAAACTCAATGTGGTTTTCTGATCTGACGTTCCTATAAGCATGACAATGTAGATTCTCCATTACTTCCAAAAAAGTTATAAAAACATTGTTGAAAAATAAGTCTGTTGTATGATGTTGCAATACTGCGATTAAGGTTTGGTTAGATTAAGGCAATAACAACTTGGTTTATAAAAACTCCATGGTTTGGGTTAGAAAAAGTACTTTGTTAAGGTAAGAGGACCTTTGTTATATGGTTACAGCAATAATCAAGTGAAATAAACACTCAGGATCACTGCTATATGCAAATAAAAAACTGGTAGCTCACCTGGCAGAGCAAGTAGTCCACGTACTACAAATTCTGAGTCCTTAGCAGAGGTGCAAGTTTGATTCTGACCCTTAGCTGCATCCACCCTTTCCTGTCCATGCGGCCATCTTGCTGAGGTCAAAATATCGGACATACTACACAAGAGGTCAGTAGCCATCCTAAAGTCTGCACTACTGACGCAGTCTGGAGCATGTTCCAGGACACCACCGTCAACATTACCGAGTCTGTGGTGGATTTAATTTGTAAAACAACGACACAACTGAACCCAAAACTACAGTTAAATCATTTCACAACCAGAATCATCTGGAATATCATAAACACACACACTGTGCCTACAATGTAAGAAGTGCAGTAAAGGAAATGGAAAGGGACTATATTGCAATTCACAGATTGAGGAAACTGACTGGCATGTCACTGAAGTTATACTTTATACTTATGATTTCATGTTACAAATTCATTGGTTGATTTATCAAAAGAGCTGGAAATAGAAGTTCGGCAAGCAAAGTTAGCCCCTGAGCCAAACAGTGTGCCCTATAGGCCATACAAAAATTTTCCAAATTTGTTGTTCCTACTCAACATGTTGTTGGCTGGTCGTTGTCTGTTTCCTGATGATGGTCAAAACATCATTTTGGATAAATTCTGGGCTCACTGCATTTCCCTGAGTTGGACCTTCATGCGATAAGGTTTGGGAGTCAGAGTGACCCCATAGACTGGGGTGTAGTCTGGCTCTCCCGCATCCTCAGGCCAGATGAACTTAAACTTCCTCAGCAGCGTCACCAAGATGAGGAAGAGCTCCATACGAGCCAGACCCTCTCCGAGACACATGCGAGGACCTGAGACACCAAAAAAAAAACCAACCTCAAAGTCATCTACAACAGTTTGATTAAACCCGTCATGTCTGTGCATGCCACTGCAGATGTAACACAGTGAGACCAGTGCTGATTGTTTTTATGCTCTCATACCTGCAGAGAAAGGCATGAAGGCCTCTGGTTTCACAAACTCTCCCTGGTCATTGAGGAAGTTTTCAGGGTTGAATTCATTGGGGTATTTCCATTGTCCCTCCTCGCTCAGCACTGAGGTCAAGTTGGGGATGATCAGTGTACCCTGAGGAGAAAATGAGTAAAAGAAGACAGGGGATAGTGGAAAGCAGAAAATGTTTGTAAGAGGTTTGATTTATTTTAGCTACCCAAGTAATAGTAATGATGTTGCTACCAGTAGGGTGACCATATTTTGATTTCCAAAAAAGAGGACATTCGGCCGGCCATGACATAGCCTACTTAAATGATACTCGCAGTTTACTCAAAGATGCCTTATAATTTTAATATATTTAAAATTTATATGTATGGATAGAAAATTCAGTTATATTACAAAATAATATCTCTCAAAGACAGAAATTCAGATAGGCCCCAATAGGGGACACATACACACACTAGAGTGTGGCAATCTGAGCCCGACAGTACCCGATGGGTCGGGCCAGGTTTTGTCAAAAATGTAGCTATAAATTGTATTCGGGCTCCGGTCGGATTCGGTCAGCTTTCTGTGAAAATGTAGTGTAAAAATAAATAAAATCCTATTGTCTGTCCTGTTTATTCCTTTGGGGCTGTTATTTACGTGACAACACCTGAACATAACACACACAGACCAGACCTGCCAACCTGTACGCATTTTGTGTAGCAAGTACGCAATTTGACATCTAAATACGCTGGTACGGCTCGCCCCTCTAAACTACGCAAAAAGCTGCGGACATGTGAGTTCTGTGGCAAATGTGCACGTGCGGTACTCATGTCTGACAACACCATGCAGCAGCGTGGTGAAGCAGTTTCAGCCAATCATTGTAGAAAAGCGGAGAATAACGAGTCTGCCGAACGTATAGCGTAACATCCCCGCCCCCCTCCTCCCTGCCTCCTCCTGCCCTCTGCCTCCCTCTCCGTCCTCCGTTCCCCACTCGCTGCAGTTGGCGCATAAAAAGGTAAACTGTGTGTGTGTGTGTGTGTGTGTATTTTAGCCTTTATATATATCCATTGCAGATAGTGTAGGCCTGTATATAAGGAGGAATGCGATTATTTATACAGTTTAAACATGTAGCCAACAAATCTTTTGCAGCAACTTTTGCAGCCACTATCGTGGCAGATGAGGAAGACAAAGACAGGGAGGGACAGGGCAGCAGACCTGCCAAAAAGAAGAGGGTCCATGTCCCCCAGAAGTTTTTGAGTAAATATCAAGAACAGTGGCCATGCTTCCGACCCTCTGAAGTTCCTCATCATGCATTTTGCACAGTGTGCAATTATGATGTGGACATAAGCCACCAGGGAGCTGCAGGTAATATGTAAATTAGCCCCGGTGATGTGTGCATATGTGCTGTAAGCCAATTTAATTATTACATTCTTGAAAACAAAAACACCTATTGCAATATACAAAATAAATTATTACCATTTTAGTTAAATACATATTAAAATAATTTTTAATTAATTTTAATTAAATAAATATTGAAATAATTCAATGCAGTTAACTTGTGGCTATCAGCTTGTATAAGCACACATATCATATAATGAAAGCAAGTGCAACTTTTTAGTTTATTGTTCAATATTAAAATGTCAAGTGCATTGCACATGATATTTTGGAGTCAGGTTAAATTGTAAAAAGTGTCTATCACTTAACTAGTCAAAATAAGAACTATGAACAAGTGTGTGTGTGTGTGTGTGTGTGTGTGTGTGTGTGTGTGTGTTTTGCAGACTGTTGACGCCATGTGGAGGGCAAAAAACATTTAAAGATTGTGGCCAGTACAGATGCTGTCCCTAAAATTCAATCGTTTTTCCATCAAGCGAGTGATTTGAGACCAATTCGGGCAGAAACTATGTTCACCACATTCATTGTAGAACATAACTTGCCATTATCTGCTGCAGACCATGCCAGACCACTATTCAGGAAGATGTTTTCGGACAGTGAGATAGCCAAACAATATGGCTGCGCCAGAACAAAGACAGCCGCCATTGTAAAAACATTGGCTAGGAATGATACTGACTACATCACAGAAATAATGAAGTGGTCCCCATACAGCCTTGCTACAGATGGGAGCACAGATATGGAGGACATAAAAATGTACCCCATTGTGGTGAGTTTTGATCCCAGTCTTGGGAGGGTCACTGTGATGTTGCTCAAGATTTGTGAATCAAGGGAGTCTACTGCGAGAGCAATATTTGAATTGCTTGACAGTGAACTAAAGAAGAGAGACATACCATGGTCAAACTGTGTCAGCTTTGCAGCTGACAATGCTGCAGTCATGCAAGGCTTGGGGAAAGGTGTAGCAGCTTTTTTGAAGGCTCAGAGTCCACACATCTACCTAGTTGGATGTGCCTGCCACCTGATACACCTCGCTGCAGAGAGGGCATCCAGGCAACTCAGTGTGAACATTGAAGACTTCCTTGTTACAATTTATTATTATCTGGACAAAAGCAGCAAGAGGAAGTCAAGTCTGCATGACATACAGATCATGTGTGATGCAGATGTGAGGAAAATTCTCAAAATGTCCTCCACAAGATGGCTGTCTCTGGGGCAGTGTGTGAACTGCCTACTGCAACAGTGGGACAATCTCACTCTTTTCTTTGACAATGAGATGGAGGCAGGCAAGAAAAAGAAGACAGGACCCTCATCTTCCTCCAAGTTGCTCAAGGCTCAATCTGGTCTTACTCATAAGCCTAAAGCAACACTCTCCTCCACCAACATGCCTACAATGCAGCCCAGTGTCTCCTCCTCTGTCCCACCAAAGCTGCCCACACCTCCATCTGGTCCTGCACAGAAGCCTGTAGCTAAANGGCAGTGTGTGAACCACCTACTTCAACAGTGGGACAATCTCACTCTTTTCTTTGACAATGAGATGGAGGCAGGCAAGAAAAAGAAGACAGGACCCTCATCTTCCTCCAAGTTGCTCAAGGCTCAATCTGGTCTTACTCATAAGCCAAAAGCAACACTCCTCCACCAGCATGCCTACAATGCAGCCCAAGGTCTCCTCCTCTATCCCACCAAAGCTGCCCACACCTCCATCTGGTCCTACAAAGAAGCCTGTAGCTAAACCTGCCACCAGCATGCCTACAGTGCAGCCCAAGGTCTCCTCCTCTGTCCCACCAAAGCAGCCCACACCTTCATCTGGTCCTGCACAGAAGCCTGAAGCTACACTTACCAGTGCATCAAAAGCTCCTGCACACCTTGCTGCAGAATTTGATTTAACCAAATTCATCTTCAAACAAAATGAAACTGGAAAGAGAGCTGAAAATGAAAAAAAAAACAAAAACCAGAAAGAACCAAGAAAGACGAGAGAACAGATCTGACAAAACCTGAGAAAGTATATCAGTTCCTCACCAACCCAATGTCAAAGGTGTATTCACTCTTTTTGAAAAGAACAATACCTATTTTTGACATTAGCAACCAAATACTCCAAAAAGAGGAGCCATGCATACATATACTGCTTCCAACTTTGGAGCTGCAACTGCAAAAGGTATTGCTTTCATTCTGTAAGCCTGAGCATGTGATCACCATGATGGATGAAATTGGTAGAGGTATCAAGCCAACACTGTACAGTGCAAGGGAAAACCAGCTACCTGATGAGAAACTCTCAGTTGGCCATGACACTCAGACCTTTATCCAAAGTCAGGGTAAATTAGAGCTTAAGCCATTCTTCAGAGATGTGAAGAAGTTCTTTTCATCTGCAGCTGACTACATGGTTTCCAAATTTCCATTTGGGGATGAGCTGCTGATGCATGTTGTTGTGGCAGATATTACCAAGAGGCAGTCAGTGAAATTCTCTTCTCTCCGGTTCTTTATCAGCCACTTTCCTTCTATTCTGCCTGAAGAGGTCACTGTGGATCAAATGGAAGATGAGTTTCGAATGTATCAAACCAGCAGCTTTGAGGACAGCATCCTCAGCAAGCGCGCCGATGAAGCCTGGGTTGATATTGGTCATTTGAAGAGAGGAGGACAGGAGATCTTCTCCAACCTTTCAGCAGTCATGCTAGGGATACTGGTTATCTTCCACAGCAATGCTGATTGCGAGAGGATTTTCAGCCTTGTCACCAAAAACAAGACACAATACAGGGCTAGCCTGAGCACTGACATGATTAGTGCTTTGGTGACAAGAAAGGTGAGCATGGCTGCAAAAGGGACCATCTGTCACATGGAGGGTTTCAGTAATGCTCTATTAAAGAAGGCAAAGTCAGCAACCTATGAGGCAAAACAGTCCAGAGCAAGTTCCACTCCAGGAAGGAGTGATGACTGATGCAAAAACTATAGTTAAAAGGGCATCAGGGTCAAGGTCAACAAAATAAAAAAAAATGTAAATAATATAGTTACCTTGGTTTGTTAACAGCATTTTCATGTTTTGAAAGTGTTTCTGTGTTCCATTGAAAGGCTGTCATGATACAGTATATACATGGCTTAGAAGGACATAGCATTTTTTGGTTTTCTGTTGATGGGTTTGGATATTTATGTTAAGAAATACTTAAAGAATGTAATTACAGAGTGCAAAATGTCTATATTTTCTTTATTAAAGGTATTGTAATCAAAAATATAGGTTTTATTGTTTTTTTATAACCGATTTCCAGCCAGTGAATGGGGAAATTACTGCATGCAAAGCAATGGAGTTGCAAAAGTCTGCGAAAAAAAGCCGCACAACACAAGTGGTACTCAAAATATTTTGACAAGGTTGGCAGGTCTGACAGACACACATTGGCTGTTTGTTTCTACCTCTCCTCTCTCTGGAAGTGTCGGACCTCCAGCGGCCCGCCTCCGCCTTGATTAAACGCTGAAAATTAAATAAAAGAGGGAGACAGGTTTTTCCTATTTTATCTTATTTTGTTTTATTTCTCCCTCTCCTCTCGCTAGAAGCGTTGGACCTCCCGCTCCTGTTTCAAACACGGAGGTCTCCCTCTCGCGGAGCACCCACAGCGCACGCCCAGCCTGTTAAATAGCCTGTAACCGTAACAACTGTGTGACACAAACTCAGTGCTTTGGTCATTAAATAATGTCGGGCTTGGTCCGGGTTCGGACAGAAATATGCGGCCCGTGCCGCACTCTAACACACACACACAAACACACGGAAAACCGGACACTATCATGAGTTAATAAAAAAAAACCCTGGATGTCCTGGACGGGACGTGAAAAGTGGACATGTCCGGACAAAAGAGGACGTTTGGTCAGCCTAGCTACCATTATTTCTGTATGGTACAAATAGTATGGTAACCTGTTAATCTTTGCTTCTTACCTTAGGAATGTAATATCCCATGAGTTCTGTGTCTTTAGTTGTACAGTGGAAGACGCTGAGTGGAACAGTGTTGGCTACCCTCTGCACTTCATGGGTCACAGCCTGGATGGAGAGATTTTAACATGTTCTTATGCTTCATCTGACTTGGACTATGAAAACAATGCAGGCTCTCAGAAGCTCAGCCAGAAAGAGCAGACCAATAAACTTGCAATATGGGCACCCACAAGCAATATGTTAACAACTAGGCAAAATAAGATCATAATAATAAATGTTGTTCAAAAGAAGTTATTACAATTGATCCACTCCAAGGCCCCAACATAAAGATGTTCTCTCACAAGATTTATTGTTTGATTTTAATGTGAGCTTAAAATAATAATTTAAATATTATGAGAAATCTGTCTGATGATGTACCTGCATGTAGGGCATGTTGTGTCTGTCATCAAAACTGGCTCGATCCTTCCCCTCCAACACCTTGTCTATCTCCTGCTGACAACGCTCTGAGAGGTACAGCAGAGATGTAATAATAATATTATTATTATTGTTCTTTGCTATATTTCAATTTATTTCTGTTACAGAGAGTGTTTTGAAATGTAACAAAAAACAATACATAAGATTGGAAAAAAACTTAAGTAAAGGTAAAATTAATGACAATACATAACATACAAAGTCCTGAGAAATCAATCCAAATCAGCAGCTGCAGCAAAGAAAAAGCTGATTGTTGTTTGAACACATATATTTGGTATTTGTGCACAGCCATACCGATATAACATCTCCGATGACCGATTCATCGGTCAGGCTTTTGCCTGTAATATTTACAATTGACAAAAGATGGTTTCTTTAGAGAGAGAGAGAGAGAGAGAAAAAAACTTGACTATGACTTATGTCTTGGGACTAGTAGGCCTTTTCCCATAACATATATTTTTAGATGTGTTCCTTGAGGCATGCTTTTGTGACTTTTATGAAAAGAATTCCTGTGCATAAAAAAATTGATGGATGAATGGAGACATATTTTAGACAGAAATACAATGACTGAACTATAGAGCCGATTGCAGAACAATAATTAACACATGCAGGCATACCTTGTACGTGTGGGTAGGTCATAAGGTAGAGGAAACCAGTGAGCAGGGTGTTGGAGGTAGTGTCTGTCCCAGCAAAGTGAATATCGAGAGCGTACATAGACAGTTGTTGTTCTGTAAATGAAGAACTATCACCACTTCTCTAAAAAAAAAAACAAGAGAATGATTGTTTTAAGACAGACAAGCATCAAATGCAATTATACCTTGCTGATCCCAACACATACACACCATGGGACATGATAACTACCACACATGCATGCACAAACATGTGCGTTTGGTAGTTAGCTGACTCTTTACACACCTTATCCATCTCATCCAGGTAGCAGTCAACAAAGTCTCGAGGCTGTCCGGGGACCCTGGTACTCTTGTGCTCATTCAACAATCGTTTTGCAATTCTCTGACAAGTCTGAAAAACATTCAAGTCAACATTCATAGTTTGTATTCATTTCATTTTTTTTCCCTTATCACTGACAAAATACATATAATTTGATTGGCACTGTAAATGTGTGTGAGGTCAGACAATTAAAATACATTGTAACATAATTTTTTTTTTTTCATAATCCTCATTTCAATATTTAAATCAAATCTCTTGGTCCAATCAACGTACCTCAACATTCTTAAAGGCCTTCATAAAGGGCAGCGGCAGGCTACGAATCATAGGAAGAGAGTCATATAGCTGTGAAAAAAAAAGAAAAGAAAAAAAGATAAATTATTAGTTTATTTGAATCCAAATGTGCAGATTGTGTGTCAGTGTCCTTGCATTAAGTGATGGAAAATAGGTGGTACAACATAAAGTAACTGCTGGAGGTTACTTTTAAACAAGTTAATTTGCAAGCTAAGATGCTTTGTCAAGTTGGAAAACAGCACTTAAATGTTAGTAAGGCAAGGTGAGGAAGTTTGTCAAGCTGAACAAAGATGAGTGGAAAAGATGAATGGATGGAAAATCCATAGTGAGGATGCAGATGCAAAGTTTGACCTCTGTAACAGTATAGCAGTATTTTTTGTGTGGCTCTGGGCAATTTAAGGTGTGTATTAGGTTCAAGAAAAATTGCAATGCATTTTCAAATCTAATGCATGGATGTCAATGTCAACCTGTCTCAGGAGGTCAAAATGTTAATTTGTCGTTTACGACCAAATAATACCCATAATACTTTTTTGTTTTGAGCCAATTAACAGATGGGTAACACTTTACCATAAGGTACAAAAAAGCAAGTAGCCTAGTTACTAAGGGAACTAATGATGAACTAATGAGCAGGTCACTTCCTGTTCTCATTTCTTCAATCCCGCTGCTTGGTGAGTTGAACTCATTCTAACACACAGCATTCCACAACACATTATGCTCCCTAATCCTCTGCATTCAGCGGTGAGTTGTGTCTGCATGTTTTGTGACTAAAAAGCTCCTGCTATCGTAACGGTTACAAATGTCAATAGTGTATTGGTTGTATAATGTGTTACTAATCAGCCCGCTCTAGCTTAGTGGTTAGCGGCCTGGTGTATTTGTATGTATGTGTCAATTAGCTCCCACTAGCGTAGGGGTTAGCATTGTCAGCAATGCTTTGTGTTTCTATGTGTAAATGAACAGAAGTTGCTAGCTAAGCGGTAGGCCACAATGCTGCCATTCACAGCAATGAACAATTTAAGGATTGAACATTACAACAGCTGTGAGTCATTTAACGTTAATTATACTGTTTTATAAGTCAGGTTGTTTTAATCGACTTTATGGATGATTCTGTAATCTTGCTTTGATGGCGCGCGTCCCACAACACCTGGATTCGCCTCCCTCAAGTCTGTGGTAGGATGAACTGAACATAAGATAAACTGAATGAACTTTTGAGCCACAGTGAAGTGACTGAATTTTGGAAACATTTTAAACTGAAAGGCCTATATGTGTGTTTTGTATTTGTTTGATTTATTTTTGAAGAAAATGTATTACAATACAAATTATTTAAAACTTACTATTGTCTCTAGTCTGTGTTGTCCTCACACATCAGGCTCCCAACCAAATCTACTGTCTTCTGTGCCTTTCTTTACATTTAGCTAATCCCATTTGCTACATTGAAATTGCAATTACTGGAAGGATCAATCATGATTTAAGGAGGAAGGATATTAGTTATTTGTCAATAAGCTTGTAGCACCTCTTAAGACAGACAAAAAGGATAACAAAGGTAATAAATAAATAATGATTCAGTACTCATTAACTAATTTGTTTGATGCTATACTTTTGGGGACACAAAAAGGGTGGCTACTGGTCAGATATGTCCGTGGAGATTCTCAGTCATCAAGGTCATGGTAATCTTAAGTGCTATCGTAGGTAACTGGACTTGCCTGAGTTTCTTGAAGATGTTTTGCCTCTCATCCAAGAGGCTTCTTCAGTTCCAACTGACTGGTACTGAGTTGCAGGCTTTGTGAACCCTTACAGAGTTGTTGAGGTCCCCCAACTGGGCCTTTGCAAAAACCTCAAAAAGACCCAGAATGAACAGAGAGGCAGAGACACAAAAACGAAACAACATCTCCATTCCTTATGTCGCAGGAGTGTCTGAGAAACTCAGGAGGGTCTTCAACGAACACCACATCCCTGTGCACTTCAAACCCAGTAACACCCTGAGAAAGAAACTTGTCCACCCCAAGGACTAAACATCCAGACATAAGCAGAGTAATGTAGTGTATGCAGTTCATTGCAGCCAGGAATGCACAGATTTATACATTGGGGAGACAAAACAACCACTCCACAAGTGCACGGCACAGCACAGGAGAGCCAGCTCGTCAGGTCAATACTCAGCTGTCCATTTACATGTAAAGGAGAAAGGACACTCCTTCGAGGACAGCAATGTTCACATTTTGGCCAGAGAAGAAAGATCGTTTGAAAGGTGCGTGAAAGAAGCCATCTACATCAAACTGGAACGACCATCGTTAAACAGAGGAGGTGGCCTATGACACCATTTATCACCCACTTACAATGCAGTCTTGGGATCCCTTCCCAGACAATTTATCACCGATTCTCACCTAGTCCCATCTAACCCTACCAACACACAAGATGGACTCTGTAAGGGTTCACAAAGCCTGTAACTCAGTACCAGTCAGTTAGAATGAAGAAGCCTCTTGGTTGAGAGATGAAACATCATGCAGGTCCAGTTATCTACAATATACTGTAGCTCTTATGATTACTGGTCAGGTAATGATAAAGTAAAGATTCAGCTGTCATCAACTACTCAGTATGATGCTTCCCTTTACTTACGGGAACACAAAAAGGGTAACTAATGGTCAGGTAATACTCAAGTAATGTTGCAGTGCTTAGTAACCACTATGTGGAGAGACTGAAGACTGGCCACATGGAGGTGCAGGGTGTACCAGACTGGTGCTGAGGGGCTCAGGAGTAGCTATTACTTTCCGGCCGCTGGGGTCCTGGATAGGGTCACTGCCCCCTTCGACCATGCATATATTGTTGCTAATTTGTTTATTATTGATTAATGTTATTTATTGGGCTTTTGATGCACAATCTGAAGGGGCTGGCGGGATTACATTTCTCTTCGATTACACTCACTGTAGAGCCCTTAGAACCTATTTTACACCTGGTGCAAAGTGATGCACAATCCAACTGTCATTGCATGTTTCAGACTGACTCAGTGATCATTTTCATAGCCAGAGCCCATGTTGTGTAGGTCGCAAATGTACTTGGGCCCATTTGTGCACCTGCGTATGTAGGTCTTAAAATTAAGTGTCTTCGGGTGCATTATTGGTGTATTATTATCATTATTGTCAGCAAAAAGCAATTGTTTCATTGACAAACAAAAACATCATAAAATTGATGCAGTATTGTCCTGCTGTTATAAGAGCGCATTATTCAGATAGTAAAATACATTGGCAGGTTCACAATGCGCTTGTTACACACAGAGGCTTGGATAAGTTGTGGGTACGCAAAATAATACATCATTAATGGGGAAAATATTAATTACATTCGCTAAGATGTAAAAATAGCAGAGAGCAGAGCTGATGACAGACTCCCTTTTAAGAGAGACACTAAGGGCCCTATTTAGATGGTCTAAAGCAGATGGGGGAGGGTGCATAATCCATGTCACAAGTGTCATTGCTATTTAGATGCAGGCGCAGTTGTCATTTTCACGCCCTGCGCCCTCGTCATCTAACTAGCAAATGAACTTGCGCTTCTCTGGGTGTGTTGGTCTAAAAATGAGGAGTGGTCAGGCGCAGTCATGGCGCATTGCTAGTTAGATGACGTAAAAAGCAAATGCGCCAGTGACCAACAAAAACCTGATCTAACGTCAATGGCGCAGCATTTCGCTGCTAAACAAGTTAGTAATATGCGTCTCTAGGCGGGTGCACAACGCGCATAGCCTGAGTGTCAGACTGAAGCTCCCAGAACCTTCAGTCTGACATGGCTTCCATTGAAGGCGATTTACTAGGGGGAGGGAATTTGATTTTTTCCCTAACCAATCAGTAGAGATCAACAACTCACCCAGAATCTGACGTCATTAGTATCCATGCCTCGGGGGTGCCGAAAACAAGTGAGCATTGCCCGTTTAAAATGTCTCTGTCGTCGTGTACGCCCAGCTGCATCGCCGTTAAATCCAGTTTAGCAGCTTCCTTAATTTGGTCCTCCATTAACGCAAGTAGTGGCGAAATACCTCGATAGCATCGTTAATGTGGTCTGTAGGATCTGTAGCGGTCACCATTGTTGCTATCCTCACCAGTTACCCACCGGCGTACAGCTTGACATCAGCGTGGCGCTGATTGGCTAATCGCTAGACCCCCGGCGTTCATTGGTCCGTCCAGCGTTTGGACGAGATAAATCGCAAATTCACTGAAGTATGCCAGACCAGAGATGCAAGCCTACTCAGTTGAGTGGGCGGGGTCTATGGTCTGGAACCAGGCTACAACGCGCGTGCACTCTGCTCAGACACACATGGAGCAGCCACACATATGCAAAAGATAACAAATAAAAATATGATTACAATGTGAAGGGTTATTATTGTGCACATTAAAATATTTATCAGAAACACGTCTTAATGCTCAGTCATTAATCAGAATGATCTAATCTCAGTAATAATGATCATCATAATTTGTAATAATGACAAATGAAATTGTGAAATTATCTGACCAATCAATCATTTTTTTGATTGAAAACCAAAGCCCACACATTGCATTTATTTTAACATGTTATACTAGGCTACATTATATTATATTATTATATTGTTATCTGAGCGTAGAGAGGACACAGATGCAAATAAGAGGCAGAACACAGCTCTAGGAAACGTGAAAACAATTAACAAACGTGGGTGGGGGAGAAAACGCTGAACAGGTCCTAGCTGCAGGATCAGCACCTTGGGGAGCTCCGCGGTAGTCCTGACAGCTGTGCTCTGTTATATGATGAAAACAGGTTTGAATAATATTCCACAGATATTTCGTAAGATCTTTCTTGTATTAGTGATCCCACACCTGCTTTACCTCGGGGAGCTTGGGTGCCTGTCTGCTGTCCCCGTAGATCGGGCCTTCACCTCCCGCACGAGGAGATCCGTCTCCTCAGCTGTAAAACGCTCACTCTTTCCAGTTGGTAGGTTCGCCATCTAACTAGCTCTCCGCCATGCGCTCCAATCGCGCCTCTTTTAAAGGGAATGAGAGGTGACACTCTGATTGGCTTATTGAATGATACGCCCATGCTAATTCACAGAGTAAGTCCAACCCTTTTAGACTCTCCGCCATGGCGCACAGTCTAAAAACGCGCTGTCTAACTAGCAAGTGACTGGTACACGCCCATGCGCCACACGCCTGGCGCTTTGCGTTTTAGACCATCTAAATAGGGCCCAAAGTGGACATGCCCTAAATGCACTTGTATCATGCACTTTAGACCATGCAGTAGATTGCATAATAGGACCTTTAGTTTTGTTGATATTTCTGAGCCAGGTTTTAAGGCAGAAACATGTTTGACTCACCATAGCCCATGGTCCATTGGCCAACTTGGCATTCTCAGTAAAGCACTGAACAATCACTTTGATGAATTTGTCATCATACTCGTAGCGTGTACCAAACAGAACCTGGCAGATGATGTTGGACGCTGCATTATGAAACATAACTTGGGGACTCATGGATTTGCCTGTAAAAGAAATACTGTTGACTAACCCACACCACCGTATTGTAGAACAGTACAAAAGAACAAAAGCTAACACCAGCATAATACAAAACTCTACCTGACATTAATGGAACTGTATGATTGAAATCCAACTTGTCATATTATCAAATAACAGAGTATTTGTGATGCTCAGATGTCAGTGTCACTGATAAAACTTAACGGCCATTCATGTGATGATTGTGTGGACCCACAGATGACATACCAATGCTCTTCTCCAGTGTATCAATGATGTATTTTATCTCTCCATGAATCCTTTCCTCCATGGAATTCTTCCCCAGACCAAAGTTCCTCAAGGTCATGAGAGCAAAGCGGCGATGGTCCCTCCAACTTGGGCCATAATCTGCCAGAATCACTCCTACAACACGTGTAGTGACACAAAGAGCATACAGTGTGATCTTACAGGTCATCTAATGTAAACTTTTCTCACTGTCCAATGTGATCATTGCTTTTCTCTTCCAGAGTTCATCTACTTTCTAGTACTTTCTTATTCTCCAAAGTACTTTAAAATGTATTTTCTTTAAAAAATGGAATAGTGTAATGTACAAACCTATACATGTTACATAATGCTTGTTTTCCGTTCTTTTGATTTGTGTGGTGTTATTAGTCTGTAATGTGTTTTGTGATAAACTAACAAAATTGACCTAAAAACACTTTATTTTGGCCAAATTTATCAAACAATACACTATTCTTGATAATCAGTGATCTTCACACAATATCAAAAGAGAGAACTACACCATTCAGTGCACAGTTTTTTTTCTTTGAATGGTGAAGAGATACCTTCTACAAAGACCAGTGTGGGAGGTAATGCGTCACAATAGTAACATTATACGATACTATATTAACTGAAGCAGTAACAAAGTAATATAACATGTTACCAACATAATTTTGGGTAATGATACTATTGTGTTTATTTGAACATTTACCATGTCATGTAATGTGTTAACATCCGAAATAAATTCTTTATTGTTTTCATTTTTCATGTATTCACACTGATCCTGACTGCCCCACTTCCGCCAGTGCGCCAACAGAAAAAATAATCCTGGAAGGTTACTGTGTCTTGTCATGTCATGACAGACAACATCACAGAAGGGTGTCTGTGATCGGTACATCTGGCTCACCATACTATACATTATCATGTTCAGAGTGTTTCTTAATTTACCTGCAACGTCAACCAAATATCCTGTTCTACTTTTGCGTCTCAAAGCCACTAGACAGTAGTGGAGATAAGGAGCTGGCCTCTGGTTTGTTTTTCCCTTGTCCTGGTGATCGGCACATCTGGGTATATTTTGTGTATGTTTCCATTCACATCCCTTACAACTGCAGACATCACCACCACACAGTCCTGTTCTTATGCATAACTCTCTGACTGGTGTTGTTGTAGCTGACCATCACACTGGGAACTGGCAGGTGGGTCTTCCAGCTCCGGTGTATTAATTCAACCTCAGCAATTGTTTATTGTGTTATATATCATAGGCCCACGATTATTCATCTGTGTCTCACAATCCCAGACTTTGATCCTCTATCTGACCCTTCCTGTGTCCAAGGCTATTTGTTTATTTCATGGCATTTTAATACAAAGTGGTAATCACTGTATGTGAATGCATGAATGGGTCAGACCTGGAGCTTCTGTGCTTTGATTACCTGCTGTGAAACAACATGACCTTCATCCATTTAAAATGCTCATTCATTCCTCTGAGGTAATTTGGCAAAAGTAACGCAAAAGTAGCGTAATAAGTAATTTATTATTACATTCACAATGTCATGTAATGTGTTACCATCCAAAATAAACTGTTTATACATTATACTGGTAGCTGTCCCATCCGTACATACCAACCCGTTCTCATTCCCAGATCATCATATACTGACGCTTTGCAGTTGTGTAGTGGTAGTGGATGAGGTGGGTGTACTACGTAGGTGGGTAGATTACCGTGAAGGAGGTCGGTATACTTTCACATATAGTATTTCAATGCTTGTAAACTGACGGTACATGAATAGGAAGAGATACGTTATTGACATATTACTGTATGTACTTTGTATGTCTGATTGCTTTTTTTTTTTTTTTTTTAAATTAGCTAAGTTTGATAATTCATTCTCTGCCCTGTGAAACCTCATGTCTCTTTTACCTTTCCTATCGGTAGTGTCATTGACAAACAGGTCTTGGGGTCTTCCAGCAAAATCAATGCCCTTGGTCACTAAAGCCTCCTTCATGGCCTTCATCCCGTGGATGATTACAGCTGGTCTTGGACCCAGGTACAGACTGTAAATATTTCCATAAGACTTCCTCAGCTAGTAGAGAACAAAATAACATGTCAGTGTTTGAAATACATATCATATGACTTCAAATGAATATTACTTTTTACAGGTGCAATTCACTTAAATTATAAAACATATCTGCCCTCTTAGTTCAGTCTTAATGGTCTCATCTGTAAGAAAAACCAATTAAGAAACAGAAATATTTAGAAAGAGTAATACAACATAATAAAAACATTAAGAAGCACTTTACATCAGGTAAAGCAAGCAACAAATAAAAAAAAACAATTTTTGGTAACTACGAAGCGTGCATGTTAGTTGCTTAGTGTAAATTAAGTCATTTCACTGCACACACTAAAAATGGATGTTTGAATCTATAGCACCTGGGCTGTATTCACAAAGCTTCATATTGCAAAGTGTTGCTCCTAGTGACAAAATATTACGAAAATTCTCAGAATTGTAACGTTTTTTTGGAATGTCCCTTTTAATTTAAGACTAGGGGCTCTAGTTTCCCAGCGCAGCGCAGGGTGGCGAACCCCGCGCAGAGCTAGTTTCAAGCAGCGCAACCCAAGGTGCGCTCAGTTTGGTAGTTTGGCAGACCGAGGTGCGCTGAGATGGGTGTGGCGGCTCAGCAGGGGGAGGTGTTTACAGATCCAGCTTGGCGCAGTGACAGTTTCGTGCCAAAAGGCTTCGCTTAAGGTGTGCTAAAAGCTCGCCATCTGAAACCAGGTCTACTGTCAGCGCAGGCAGAGCGCAGCCGGTGTAAGCCAAAGTTTGGCTGACCGGCGGACAGTGCGCACACGTCACCAAAACCTCACAGGCAGGTTTCCAGAATGTCAGGCACATTAACGATGCAATAAATAGCCAAAAAAACACTATTCAATGCAACTATCTGCAATCAGCACATAAATGTATCTCTATACCGACTGTCCCGTCACATCTGATGTCAGATCAAAGGGGATTGGCACCGTTTGGCACCGTTTGGCATGCGTAATGGAAACCCAACCTGATTTGATTAACACAGCTGCAAACTTATGAGTTCACATCCCTCTCAGCCAACCACAAACAGCCACAGCATCAGATAAGGAGTATATATTCAGCATCTGTCATCTTAGAAAAGTCAAAAGAAAAGAAACCGAGTGAGACTCCGAGAGAGAAAGAGAGAGCGCGCTCGCACGAGAGAAACGCAACATTGATTTACAATTGTGGTGACCTCCTACCTTTGCATCATCAGCCCGTGGAGGTCTGCTCGCAGTTCCGTATATTCGGACACTGCGAGCTTGGACCTCCTGGACCAAAACATCAGTTTCCTCCTGGGAGAAATCTGGCCATCTGACGCTGCTGCTCTCTTCTGCCATGGCGAATTGAGTAAACTCTCATTACGCCTTCGCGGGGCGCATTTAATGGCGAGGAGAGGGGCTCATTTGATTGGTGTGATGTGTGTAAAACCCACTCCATGCCTTCTCTCCTCCCTCTTTCCGACTTGCGCAGGTAGGTGGGACGGAGGTGGGAAAGAGGAATAGCTGCGTCAGCACACACGGTGTGCCAAACTTGCAAAATCTGCCTGGCCACACCCAGTTGGTGAAGCGCAGGTGCGCTGCGCCCCCGCCTCGCCCGGTCTGCCAAACTAGAGTCCAAGGTCCTCCTATAGATAAAAATTAATCACAGAGCATCTTAGACCTTAAAGGAAATGACCACTTTAGAATGAAAATACAGACAGTACTTACTCACCCATGCCGACAAGAAGTCCAGTGTAGTTTTTTAATTCACAAAACTTGTTACTGCGATCAAGCCAGCTTGGATGCACTTGGATTACGACGGACTAGCCGTTCTGACGATTTTGAAATGCATTAGCAGAGTTTTATTACATTTTCAAAAATGATTTTGGACATGGGTTCCATGTACTTCAAGTGTATGGAAAAATCCAGCTGGCTGTTATCCTCCGATACGTCAAATGAGTTACTGCGGTCAAGCCAGCTGACGCTCGTTTTGGCTTGGTTAAGTCAGCTGCTCCTAAATTTTAATTACTCCCATATTGCGACCTTTACGGTAAATGCACAGACAAGAAAGATAGAAAGAAAGTTAGATAAGATACTACAGTGGGGACCAACTTCCGTATTTAAAAATAAAAAGAAGAGCATTAAAATTGTGTCACGTGACCTGGGAGCTATTGAGCAACAACAACAACAACAAAAAAGAAAGGCAAAGAGCAATAAATTACAAAGACTATTAAAATCTAATACAAAGAGGTGTGTCTTAACCGGCCTGTGTACTGACATGATCCAGCACTGATTTGGGGTCATCAGGTCACATGACCTGGGAGCTACTGAGCTAAAATGCTATATTTTTTCATAAAAATATTCATTATAGCTAGCTAACTTTCTTTCTATCTTTCTTCTCTGTGCATTTACCGTAAAGGTCGCAATATGGGCGTACTTAAAATTTAGGAGCAGCTGACTTAACCAAGCAAAAATGAGCGTCAGCTGGCTTGACTGCAGTAACTCATTCGATGTATCGGAGGATAACAGCCAGCCGGATTTTTCCATACACTTGAAGTACATGGAACCCGTGTTCAAAATCATTTTTGAAAATGTAATAAAACTACTACTATAACGCTAATGCATTTCAAAATCGTCAGAACGGCTAGTCCGTCATAATCCAAGTGCAAAATTGTCCTGAAAAGACATAATTTACTCCACATAATTTCTCACCGTAGTCTGTTAGCCTGCAGGCGTGCTGTGTTTACATGGCAACTCTTGCGAGACTCGAGAACGAGAACTCATGGTATCTGCAGGCCAGTGTTTACATGCTACAGTGTTTAGCTAGCTACATTCTACAGATAGCGACACACACACGATCTCTGTTTGAGCTAACTTTGAAAGTCAGGATAATGTCAGACTCTGAGGACTGACATTAGATGTGCTGACTTGCTGCCTGACATGTTTTAGCCCTTTTCTCAAAAGATGGTTTTAGTGTGTGCATTTCCTGGGTGCTTCAGTCGAAAGAAGTGGTGGAGCAAGTTGAGTTTTTCTTGAAGTCTTCAGCTTTGCTGACTGTGTCGCCACTGAGGACAGAGGTATGTCCTTTATAAACTTTTTACACCTGTAGGCAATAGGCTATTCAATGGTCATTCTTTATAGCGTCCATTTGTGGTAGTCTACCTCACTGGTTGTGGAACAGTGCTATGTTGCTGTCATTAGATCTAAGAAATTATATAGCAAAAAAAAAAAATAATAATTTTTTGACCAAGTAAGTGAGGGGCCTAGCCTGAGTGTCAGACTGAAGCTCCCAGAACCTTCAAACCTACTCAGTTGAGTGGGCAGGGTCTATGGTCTGGAACCAGGCTAGGAGGGGCCCCTTGGACTCCAAGGCTCCTCCGCATCGCAGGGGGTGCAGGGGTATACTTTACGGGCATGAGTCACCAAGTACTACAGAGAGCTGTCACTATGATATGGTGTAGGCCTATATTTTCTTCTTTTTCCTTTATACTCATTTTTTTTCTTTTGCCAGTCACATCCGTGATTACATAATCAGTGTCTGATTATATCAACTTAACCTCGTGCCTGTTTCCAGGACACGTCACTACATCCTGCTGCAGCAGAGACCACAGGTGACGCTGAGGCTTTTTTTGCTGGTGTGCTACAATCCACGCCAGTAAAGCCTAAGGTATCCAGTGATCAACCTGAGCAGCCACACCCAAGAATTCAGCTGGTGCTAACAAGTCCAGAACCCAAAAGAGAACGGACACATCCAACCACGTCTGGGATGTACCTTGCCCTCCCCCCAACATGGTCATCAGTTTTGTGGATTAAAAAACTACACTGGACTTCTTGTTGGCATGAGGGTGAGTAAGTACTGTCTGTATTTTCATTCTAAAGTGATCATTTCCTTTTAAAGAGCTCCTAAGGTGAAAAACTGTCAGGAATAAGGACTAGGACTTTTAAGGGGCTTAAGAGTTTCTTAAGCAGAGGAGAAAATGGTGGAGAGACAAAAAGTTCAGAGAAATATTCTCCAAACGCTGGATGTCAGTGAGTAAATGAAATACTACACATTAGATCATGCGGTGATAATATCTGTTGTCGATGTCATTAGGGACACACACACATTTCCCACCTAAAACTATAATGTGAGTAATATAATGATCACAATACTAAGATATTTAGAAAACTGGAAAATGCAACAGTGCAGCAGTGATGACTTGGGTCTGTCTAACCTTCCATCAGCAGAGTGATCACACTATTAATGAAAACACGTTCACAGTCAGCAGTTCATTTAATTTCCACTGGGTGTCCACATCGTGCAGGCTCACAAAAGTACTCCAGGATGGCCGGCGGTCGCCACGCAGTCATCACCGTTTTTTGTTTTTTTTTTCCTCCCTGATAATCTACTGTTCCACGTCCAGTCCGCTAGGTGGCAGCCTTTAAATTGGATGCCAGCCAGCCCATAGATATCTATGAGCCGGCTGGCCGCCAATCAAATTGTAGAAGAAGGAAGCGCATACGTCACGCAAATCGAGCAGCCTTGTGCAGCAGGTGCAGATGGGAGAGATAGCGTGAAAGAGAACAATATGGATACTGGTATTAATCCAAAAAAACGGAGATTTAAGTAGGACTATTTTGACACCCGTATCTGGGGCTGATGAGTTTCCGCGCACCGGTTGTTGTGGGCTGGGCCGAGTCAAAGTACAGGGCTGTTTTTGGTCCCAGTCCGCCCCTGCTCATACCGAGCAACAGGGTCAACCACACCTCTTTACTAAGGTAAAAGTTTCTGACCCATCCCTGCTCAGAGTTGCTCTGAGAGGTTTCCTCCTTCACTCACTGCTAAGCTAGGACTCCTTACTAAAGGAATTTTAGGAATTTAAGTTAGGAGCTCTCTGAGAGTTTTCAAAGAATGTTTGTGAATACAGCCCCTGGACTTTGGGGTGGAATTTTGTTTGTAGTGCTTAAAGGATTAAAGAATGTAAATCATCTATAGCAAGATACCATACCATAACCATACCAGAAATGATTCCACAATTTCTTGAAACGGCAAGATCTCTACATTTTTCTCCAGGGGCTGTATTCACTAACATTATACTCTCAGAGAGCTCCTAAAGCTTTTAAGCTTAGCCTAAATTATTTCTGTAAGGAGTCCTAGCTAAGGAGTGATTTAGGAAAGTTCTTAGAGCAACTCACTGTCATCCAGTAGAGAGAGTATTTCTCTGACCTCTTCGTGTTTCCACCATTTTCTCTTCCGCTTAAGAAGCACTTATGCACCTTAAACGTTTTCCTCCCTGCTCCTAACAGAAGCTCTCATATGGGCTAAGGTGCTCTGTGAATAACTATTACCTTTAACAGGTCCTAGACTTAAAGGTAGGATCTGGAGGATTTTCAAACAAAACAAAATATAGACATATACAAATGAAATCCTGCTTAATCATTACCTATGGGCTTCTACTCATGTGTGGTGGTGACTCTGTTTGCAGAGCTCCTGCCCTTTAACTGTATTTTGATGTTTTTGTGAGTTTGGACCGCTTCTGGGCGGAGATTTCCCCAGCCAATGAGAGAGCGCAGGTGCCGTGCCCGAGCGTGTCCGAGCATGTCCGAACGTGCACCAGCACGAGCCTTGCCTGAACCTCTTCTGTGAAGCCTTCTTTTATACCTCCAGGCTCCGTACACCCGGGAGAGTTGAGCCTGATAGGAGGGGCAGAATTTGAATGTGTGTTTACAATCAGCAACTGGAAAATCCTCCAGACCCTACCTTTAACTTAAAGGGGAAATTCTTTGAAAAAGTCATAATTCTAATTCTAATTCTTTGTACCAGGACATTGCCTCTTTAAAGGGAGGCTGCTGATTTTAAGAGATTTTTCCAATGACTAAGCACCACAAACAAACCCCTTTCACCTACATCGTACTGAAATCTCAGCAGTGGAGATCCCAAAATCTCCCCAAAAAATTTGCTTAAAAGTATGTATTGTGTCTATAGATTGACAGCACCCAATGTTTATGATCTGTATAGGCCCGTTTCCACCGCAGGAACTTCGGGGTAATTTTACGGGGCCGGGGCCGTTGGTGCGTGTCTCCACCGCAGGAACCACCCCCGAAGGACAGAGTTCCGCAACTTTTATGGGGGCTAAACAAGTCCCTGCCTCGGGGTAGGTACTCAGAACGGGCCCGAAAGACTCCCGGCTGGGGCTTGGGGATTACTTGGTGCTGATTGGATATACTCAAGGGATGTGATGTCAACAGAAAGCAACAAAATAGCCGGCATTTTTAAAACTCAGCAGACGAGGATTAGCTCGTTCATATAGCTTCCTCCGCCATGTAAAAAAAACTCACTAAATGGCCCGTGAAAAAAATATTCTTTCCAGCGGATATCTTAGTTACAACATGATTGAGCTAGCAAAGCAGTTTTGTGTTGCTATGTGTGATATTTATTCAGTTTTGGGAAATCACGATGTCTAGAAAGCATCAGTGGCTGCAGCTGACAGGGACAGCTAACGTTAACACTAGCAGCAAAGCTAACATCAGGATCGTCATCCGTTAAAAGCCTCCCGTTGTCGGATACGACATGAAACTACTCCAGTTAGCTCAATCATGTTGTAACTAAGACATCCGCTGGAATTTTTTTTTTCACAGGCCATTTAGTGAGTTATTACAGACAGAGCTAAGGGCTATCAGCTAACGGCGTCCCTACGTCGCCCCGGTAAATGGTCGTGCAACGATTACGTCACATCCAGAGCCCATAACTTTACAGGAACCTTCCTCGTACTCTGATCTCTCAGTGGAAACACGGCGGTTGAGAGTGCCGAGCGAGAGGACGTTCCTGTAGTAGTTCCTGCCCCCCAAATAGTACCAGGAACTTCTTCAGTGGAAACGGGCCTTATCACTGGTTGGCTATAGTCCACATGCACAGAGTCAACTCAGTACAAACAGCAACAATGTTGTGTAATCACATGAAACAAGTAGCGGTCTGATGAGAGCATCCTTGACCCTTTGAAGCATGTTATACACGGCAAAGATTTTAATGGCTTTTATGTGTGTTTTTGGTTTACACTTTTTTGGATTCATAGTCTAAAAGTGCAGTGGAGCAACTCTTTAACCTAATAATTATCAGAAAAAGCAGCCAGGTGACCACAAGTGTGAGTACTGAGCCATTATAGACACATTATAAGTACTATTAACAATAGTTACATCATTGACGAAAATTTAGGGCATTGTAGAAGCAGCATTATTCATTTCAGTGTTTATCTTACTCTCTCAAAGTCCTCCAGGGGGTTCTCCAGGCTCATGTGCAAAATGTTCCCCAGTATGGGCAGAATAGGGGGTCCTGGTGGAAAGTTTTTGGGCCTCCGGGGTTTGAGTTGAAGGATGAGGAAGCCAATGCAGAGCCATAGCAGGATGATTGAAGCAAACATGGTGGACCGAACTGGACTGAAGAGACGAGATGATTGACCAGTTGGTGAATGAGAACATCAAACACAAACACAATCTCTGATGGACTCTGGCTTGAATCGTTCACTTTATCAGTTTAAAATTAATTTTGCTAATATCAAGGCTTGTTGGTAGAGTGGAAGAAAGCTAATGAGTTACAGCCAGTGATGGAATATAACAATGTTGCCTTCATTTACTCAAGTTCTTTACTTAAATACAAAATTGAGGTTCTTATACTTTACTTGAGTCTTTTCTTTTCATGCCCCTTTCTTCTTCTTCTCCACTACATTTATGAGGGAAAAGTTGTACATTTTACTCCACTATAATTATTTGTCAGCCTTAGTAACTAGTTACTTCACAAATTAATTTGTGCATACAAAACATATAAAGAGCTTAAGAAATATGTTTTCTTACAAATTAAACTAACATTACCAACAGCAATACAGCTGAAACAATGGACCAATCACAGCAGACATTTTCACTTGTCATAGGGAAGCAAAGGTGAAACTGATAACGTGAATGATGGCTCAGTTCCATTTAGTGTCCCTATGAGCTATTCAAGTAAGCCAGCATGCACAATACCAGGCCCTCCCCTAAGTGGAATGCAGTCATGTTGTTGTTTAGCCTACACCTGAGCTTTTCTTACTGACATCTCAAAATGTCTGCTGTGAAAAAGGTCTATTAGCTGAAGTGATGAGTGATTGAGAGACAGCTTCTTTCACAATTGTTTAACATTTCAGTGTGTACAGTTATAGTCAGTAGTTTCTGTAAAGCTGAGGCATCGTGCCTTTTCAGAGTTACTAATTCTCATAGCTACTGTCTGTTCATCACTAGCACCACTTTAGAGTCTCACTGGCTGCCTGAGGGACAAACACTGTACAGTTCCATAGAAAAACCTGAGGTGGCAGCGGCTGTGCACTGCATTTTAATGGAGGTGAAGTCAGCAATACATACATTTGCCAGACAAACCAGTTACTCGTCATCCTTGAATTCTTTTCTTGTACAACCAAAAAATACAGTTTTAAAGCCTTCTGTTTACGGATAAATGTTACCTTTGTGTTGCTTGTCGACGTTGGTTTGTAACTGTGGTATAGGCCCCACAAGACCCACAGTAAGCAAGCAAACAGGGCAGTCCGGACAATGGCTGCTGCAAAGCTGAAATGGATGCACTTTGTGAGGGAGCTCAAAGGGTGGGGGACAGAGTGCATGTGGGGAGGAGACATGATTGAGCTGTACAGAGAAGAACAGAGCTTTAGTTATACTATTAGAAGACAGTGATTTAGATTTGATTCTATTTAAATCCCTGTTTTTGTTTTGTTTTCCTTTTGTTTGTCATTTTCTGCATCAACACCTCCAAAGCTTTAAGAGAAAAGCCTCCAACCTCTCAAGACATCACTATGTATTCCCTATCTTATCAGTGTAACTGTGTTATTTGTAAATATAATTTAGTTTTCTGTTTTATTTGTTCTTATAGTGCTACTTTTATATAGTTTGGCATATTTTATTAACTATTTTGTTATTTATGCTCTATTAGAATTTACATATTCTAAATCTTTTCAGACATTTTCTCTGTGAGTAGTGTGGAGGAGTTTACTACATTGTGCAATCTTGTATTGTATAATGACAATAAAGCCTTGAATCCTTGCTCAGCATACTTGCCAATCTTGAGACATCATAAATAAATAAATACATAAACAATGCTGATTAATCACCACGAGCAGACTTAAAAATTTGAAACATCCTTAAGTTAAGTAAATTGCTGTGACAGCAACAATTACTTTATTTTACAACATGCTTTTTTAACCAGTGCTTATGGCAATAATGCCAGCTTGGCATAACAAACCTCTTTCTGTCATGACAATGCTGAAGGCTTCTCTTTTAAACTGGAGACTCTTTACAGCCATCTGAAGGCAGCAGGTATCTGCTCCATGTTGTTGCTCAGTGTTGAGCCATAATTAAGCATAACAGACCAGCTGGTTACATTTTGTGCAACCAGCATCAGACTAGCAAAATGAGCACTTTGTGGCTTTAAGGCAGACTAGACAGGCTCTGGCTCAGGAGCACAACTATGCCTGCCGTCCTCCTCCTGGTGAGCGTAGCATGTTGCTAACGACCTGGATAAATACAGTAACCACGCGCAGCCGCAACCAGTCGAGTTCAACTGCATTAATAAAACTGTAAATAGATTATTATCTAAGACAATAACAGCCTAATGTTGTGGAATGTAACTCTGCTCCGCTCAGTTCCCCAGTCTGAAGGTTAGCTTGACTCCTAGCATAATGTCTTGTGCTACAAGTTTTTTTTTTTTTTTTTTTTTTTTTAACTTTATTGAACAATTTATGATTACAACATTAAGGCAAATCCATGACATTAAAGCAAATGGTTATGGAACTGAGTAAAAAAAAAAGAGGAATTAAAGAGGGGAAAAGAGTTTCAGTCAAAATAAAGGAACAAATAAAACACTTAACAGTAAAGTACGGAAGCGTATTGCTGCCACACCAGGAAAAAAATAATGTCAGTATTACGTTATAACGTGAAAAGTTTATTGTTCTAACAAGATGTTTTTCACATTATAACAACGTATTTTCACATTACAATGTGATAATTTATATTGTCAGGCTATTTGCAAAGAACAGGTATCAACATGCCCAAAACATGGATGACATGATGAACTATATTGTTATAACATGAAACTTTTCACGTTTTTACTATATAATTTATCACATTTAAAGGGCCAGTGTGTAATATTTGGCATGGTTTATTGTCAATCTGAATCTGAATCTGAATATTCTACCCATTAATATGTTTATTTTAAGTGTATAATCGCTATAAAATAAAATTCGTTTGGTTTTCGTAGCCTTATAATTATGATTTTTATATATATATATATATATATATAGCAAGGGCCTTGCTTTAGAGAGGTCGCCATCTTGCGCCGCCATGTATGTATGGCAGACCGGGCGGACAATCCAGCCAGCCAGAGAACGCGTTTCGTGTGTATATATGAACCAACGAAGACAGCGGAAGGAAGGAAGAAGGAGGAGGAAACAGCAGAGAGTGTTAGTAGTTTGTCAATAGAGAGTAGTGAAAAGTTTTTTTAGTTATAAAGTTTGCGAATGGACCACACTTACCACGCAACAGGAGAGAATGAACCCAAACCGTCATCTGCGAGGAAAAGAAGATGCAACTTCACTCCTTGTGATGCACTCTCTGCGGCGCTTTTCCTCCTGATGATATATCTCCCCAACAATGGTAGCAGTAGCACCGAATCCCATTCTGTGCATTCAGCCTCTCTTCTCGCCCGCTCAGCATCAAACACATGGAGTTCCTCATCTGTATGCTCCGGCTCAAACAGGTATGGCTCTGGGTCTGTGTCCGCTACAAGAAACTCTTCAAAATCGCGTTCAAAGTCGTTCATTGCAGCTACTATAGTCCTGAGATATTGCTAGGCTAAATAAACAGCTGAGCTCTGTTTACCTGCTACGCTGTCAGTCAGTGTGCGGGCTGGAGAGTGGTGGAGCAGAGTTGGGAGGGGGTACCCGCTGGGTACTGTAAATGAGTATGTGTGTATGAAGTGTGTGTGTTACGCTAGAAGAGTCAGATTTTGGGACGGAGTGGAGTGTTACCGGAGTTTTTGGAGTGCTCAAATAAACGGGCCTTTTCCCCGAACGCTCCTCTGGTCTCCTGCTCGTGAGGGATTCATTACAATATCATAACATGGTTTAGATTTCTAAATAAACATTCACCTCGTCGCTAGATAGACCTACTCCTGAAAAACTTGTGCACAAGGCTTTTTGTCCCTACTAGGCCACCGTCATTTACCCAACGGGAGGGGTGAGCGAGTGAGCCCTGCAATCTAGAATTTGACCACTGATGTCACTGTTTTCAACCCATTTTACACACTGGCCCTTTAACACAAAACTATATTGTTATAACATGAAAAACTTCTTGTTAGAAAAATAAACTTTTAACGTTATAATGTAATACTGATCCATTATTTTTTTGCCTGGTGTGGCAGCAATATGCTTTTGTAGAATATAAATACAGATACAAATTATAAATAATACAACATAATACAAAACAATGAGATTTGGTCTACATTTAAAAGTGAACCATATTATTTTCAGTGTCTCTTAATGTGTATATTCAATAGAGTTGGGCAGTCTGTTTGCATATTTAGATTTCATACATTTGAGGGATTTACAACAACAATTTAACATAGAGGGCTTCAACGATGGGTGGTGTTTTTATACATTTTACTTTGTGCATGTAATATTTGGCCATCATGATCACTGTGTTAGTCAACAGATGTTCTTTCTTTCATAACTACTCCATGCATAACATCCTCATGTGGACTGAGTGTAGCCGGCACATGCTTCCATTCTAAGGAATTCAGTGGAAGGATATATATAAATCTTGTGCTACACGTTACTGTTATGACTGTAGTTTTTTGTCAGTGCAAAACGTTACGTCCTAGTAAGGTGACTGTTAAAACATCATATTTCCAGTATTGAGTAATGATAATAATGTGAAGGTGTGTAACTCCTGAAATAGATATAAGAAAAGTATTATGGCAGCGCTCCAGTCTTAACATTAGCTTAGCTACAAACATTAGCACACAGCGTTAATGACTGTGGTTTTGTCATTATATATGTTAGTAAGGTGACTGTCGTAACATTATCTCACCAGGATAAAATAATGGCATGTGACAGTATTTAATATATGAAATAATTGTAAGAAAAGTTTGATAGCATCCCTCCAGTCCTAATGTTAGCTTGGTTATGTTTGTCAGCAGAGGATCAATGAGAAGGGAGAGTGAAGTTCAGTTGTCCTCACATTTTGTGTAAGTGTAATTTCTTATAGAAAATATTAATGCTTGTTTTACTGCTTGCTTTTATTTATTCAGGTGCACTGGAAAAAATAAAGGAGTTGGATGATCGGGTGTCGAGCCTTACTCTCTCTGGAACATTACTGGATAGATGGTGTGTGTCTGATGAAGACTTCAGGTACTTTACAGGGTTCCCATCTAAACACGTTTTTTTGGTCTTTCTGGAGATCTGTTGAGCCATCTGCATCCAGGATTGGGTACTGGTCCGAAGCAAGCAGGATTGGAGATGCCACTGTGGAGAATGAGGTCATCAGGCCAAGCCCAAGACAGAAACTGCAGCTTATTGATGAGTTCTACATGTTTTGTCTGTGTGTTGCTGCTGGCCTTAAAGAGAGAGTTTTGGCTGGGAAGTTTGGGGTGAGCACTGATACAGTGAGTTGTGTTTTGATCACTTGGTCAAATTACTTGTACCTTGTACTGGGATCGGTTCAAATCTGGATGACGCGGGAGCAGGTGAGAAGAACAATGCCTGTGAAATTCCAGCAGGTCACCCCAAATCTGAGGGTCATTGTTGACTGCACGGAGTTCAGACGCAAGAACCCAAAGGCGCTCACCCTCCACTGTGAGACATTCTCCACGCACAAGAGCTACACCACCTTCAAGGCATTAATTGGAGTTGCACCCTCTGGTGCAGTCACTTTTGCATCCAAAGTTTTCACTGGCCCGATCTCTGTGAAGGAGTTGGCAAGGCAGTCAGGAATTTTGGAGTTACTGGAGCCAGGGGATGAGATCATGGCAGACAAGGACTTCTTCTTTGAGAAGGCGTTGGTGGCTGTTGGGGCCAAATTGATCACTCCACCTATCAAACACAAAAGCCAGTTAAGCAGAGAGGAAACTACGAGGACCCAGGCCACAGCCAGACTCCGTATTCTCATTGAACAGGCAATTAGGCGGATAAAAGAGTACCACATTTGGGATTCACCAGTTCCCCTCACCTTGGCAGGCACTGTAAACCAGATATGGTCCTGCTGTTGCATGATGGCGAATTATCAGGGTCCTCTAAATCTTGAAGGTGAGGTCAGCTACTGGGTAGAGTGAGTATGTTGCCTGACGTCTATTCTCTTTTCATGAAGCCAAAATTAGGTGCCTTCTCTCCTCTCATCAAAAGCCTCCTTTCCTCTCATAAGACACTTCCTCTTGTGATAAGTCATTAACAGACAACTCTGCTCCTCATCAGATAGTAACACACAGCTCCTCTCTAAATGATTACTTTTGATTTTGTGTAACTGAGTGGTAACAACTGTTCTTCTTTTCCTTAACAGAAACAAGTAGTACTATTGTTCCAGGTGATTAAAAAAAAAAAAAAAGGATCCCCTTCTTCCCCTGCCAGGTAAATATTTCCTCTCTTAATTTCACCTCCATACAACTGTGATAAAATTCATTATCTTATACTGTATTTTGCAGTTGTATATTTAAGATGCACATTTTCAATCCTTAACAATTTGTAGAACCAGATTAACAAGCTGCCAAGTATACGCTGGAGTTACATTAAGAGTTTTCTAACCTCTTTTTTGGTATACATTGGAGGTGTTTACTTTGAAAAGGTTGTATATTAAAGTCAACATGTGTTATTGACTGAGGACTGCTCGTCGCCTTTGCTTCTTTGATGGCTTTGTTCAAATACTTGTAAGGAAATGCATCCATGTTTAACTGGTCATTTATGATCATTTATTGTACATCTGCAAATGCTTAAATTCTGCTGTCTTTTTAAGTGAGGCTTTCTTCTGCAGAAAGTGTTGAAAAAGTTCATGTAGCCAGCAGCTCTGAGTGAACTATGGACTTATGTTGCACACCTAAAGGCATAACTTATCTTCTTGAAGGTCAGAGTTCAACTTTGCAAGACAAATATTTACAGAGGTGGTGCAACAGAGGCAGGAATCAGAGGTTCATTGTTGTTCAGTGGAAAAAAAATAATAATTCATTCTCATAGTCTGGAAGAGTCTCTGTTAAATATATTGTTTCTCTCCTCTAGAATACCTCCTCACTTCCTGCCCCTCTCTTATGGAGCTACATTAGGGTCAAATGTTTTGTACTTGAAAAAATAAAATTTGAAACTGAAAATTCATGTGTTGATCTTGAATTTTGAAAAATACAACAATGTATTCAAAATAAAAATAAGTATATGAAACGTTTTTTCAGGTTAAATATAATTTTGATTCACTTTGGTAATTCTTTTGAATGAATAATTTATTTTCATTTTTCATTTCCATATATATTTTAACATTTGAGGTCTTATTTTTTTCAGTTGCATGATTTATCTTTTCAGATTCAGGTCACGTGTCAATAAAAACTTCATTATATGCGATAAGTGAAAACCTCACCATATACATAACTAATTTCCTGTATTTATGTTCTTAAAAAAACAAACACCCCCTCTTGTATTGTAATAGTAACATCCGTCTTGGCAAGAGTGTGTTGGTTGTTTCCTAGATCACAAATATAATGTAATTGGTCAGTGTGGTTAAAACAGTAATTGGCAAACTTAACATGATGTTGGGTTGGTTTTTCCTTTGTGTACTAACTTGATGTTTGATTTGTCTTCTCCTTTACATGGTTTGTGTTTTTAGATGTTTTGCCGATGGAGTTGTGAACATTCCATGGCCACACCTGGAGGAGCTACAACAGAGTTAAGGGGTATTTATACTTGTGTGGCAAACCCTATGCCATAGCCTACTCACGTGACCTGTGCCGTTATGAGCATTTATACTTGTGTGGTGGTGTGTCTGTGTTGCTCTGCAGTTACACCTCCAAAACACTGGTCGGCGGTGAGGTTTCTGTTAAGTGTCGTTAAGTTTAGTTGATTCAAGACACACCCAAAACACACTTTAAATATGGTTGTCCCTATTCTCCGGACGACATGGGGAACTGAAATTTCAGTGAAAATTGGCTATTAAATAAAGATTTTGTGGGATGGCTGAAACTGCTACAAGGTTATGTATGCAAGGCTTGGTGTATTTTATGCAAAAAGGTTTTTTAACTTGGCACGATGTGAATCAAGGCAGAAGAATCTCCCGTCTAACTTGCCTTAAGCTGTAGGAACCCTGTGTATGTAAGTGAATTAACGATGGCTCATTTCCATGTAGCTGCTTTGATTTCAGGATCCTTTTATCCTGCATACTTGCTCCATGTCACCCTCACTAGAGCGCTTGAATAGCACAGAGCCATCTTTAGAGTTATTAGTGACACCTGTGTTTTTCCAATCCTGACAAATTAAAATATTTGCTGTGGTGCAACTATCCAATATTTTAACGGTGCTGAGTTCATCAATGGTGATAGATTCTCTATAGTAGGCCTATCTTCTATTTACAAAGACTGAATGATGTTTCTTTTTTTTAAAGACTGTGTTACTTTGATTAGTCTGTCCCAGAGCCCTTGAATAGAGAGTCGCGTCATCTCCATTCACTGTAATGGGCCATTTTTTTCACAGCAATGGCGGTTCGCGGAGCCTCTCAATAGTTCCCGGAAGTAAGCGGCACATGCTAGCAGCGCAATGGAGTTACAGCAGAAAAGACCGGCTGTGATGTACTTTTAACGGGTAAGATGTCCAAAGACTCAAATTTTACATTATCAGCACAACTTATCTAAATTAACATGTGCATTAAAGCTTGTTAGTGGATTATCCCCCATTAAATTAGTAGATTTATGTAATCTTAAAAGATAAGATAACAGATTAGGCTAGGACACTGTACATAGGCCTACTGTACACACCATACAGGTAATGCTAACCATGAACAGCCTGTTAGTTTTAAATTGTCTTCTCCTAAACCATTTTATCTAACACTGGCAAGTTAGAGTGCTTCCAGTCCTGATTTTTTGCGATTATTGAATATTAGCTCAGTCAAATATGACATTGCTGCGTGATTGTTGAGTGGAGGAGGTGAAATTAAACAAAAACTTAACTTATGGTCTGTTTTTTAGGCTTTGTGATTCTGTTGAATATACCTGTCTATAATATGTTACAGCTGAGCTTATATTACATTGATAGCGAAGTGAGAGGGAAGTTTGAGGACCGGAATGAGTTTTAAAACACAAGATTAAGTAATTTTGATAAATGAAACATAC